AATAATAATAATAATAATAATAATAATAATAATAATAATAATAATAATAATAATAATAATAATAATAATAATAATAATAATAATAATAATAATAATAATAATAATAATAATAATAATAATAATAATAATAATAATAATAATAATAATAATAATAATAATAATAATAATAATAATAATAATAATAATGATAATAATAATAATAATGATAATAATAATAATAATAATAATAATAATAATAAGATAATAATGTTTGTTGTGTATATATAGCGCGTCTACTTTCATTTATCTAATTGTCTAATTCAAATGTCTAGCAGCGAGCTAGCGAACCAGACGGACGTGTTTTGTCATCGCTCTTGTATATTGTCTCGCCTATCAGAAATATGTAATCAAAAATGACAAAAACTCTTAAAATCTTAGTTGATAATAGAATATCAATTAAAGTAAGTGCGTCACGTAACCTTTCTTTCTACTGTTTTGATCACTTATGAGTGATTTGAATTTCTCTTCATTAATAGTAGAGTACCGATTCTTAGACTAAACGCTTTTTAATGATTTTATTTTGGTAAAGAGATATTAGATAGAGATACATCGGAGAGTATTGTTGATTATTTGTCCTGTATGCAATCATTATTTAGGCGTCATGGCGGTTTAACGGAAGAGCTTCAGTTAGATATTTTATCTAGGAACTTGTCACTATTTTATACTACCCAGCTCCCAGTTGTTCGTACCTTGGAAGAACTTGAGGTCGAACGTATTAAACTCGAGATTGGTAATTATGTACCTCCCTCTCGAAAGCGTCAACAGTTTGTTGAGCCCAACTTTGCATTCGTAGAAACGGAAAGTCCGCATCCTTCCACCTCTCGCAAACCTGGAAATGCAAATAAAGTTGCTGAGGTCAGTGAGGCATCAGAGGTCTCCCAAAATGTTCCATCGCGTAGGGTTACTTGTTGGAATTGCCAAAAAGTAGGACATATAATCGAAATTATCCTAATCTCAGGAAAACTCACTGTTACGCCGTGGTGTACCAAATGTAACCATTATGACTTATCCCAAATGCAGTAGTTCGGAAAACGAATTCCGGGGGAATCGTTAGATCGTACTGTTTTCTCCCACTCATTATATTTAACGGACAACATTGTTATTTACTTACCTTACCTTAGTCTGTTCAAATCAATATAATCTGTATCATTCTACTTTTTTCATGATGTTGTCTTGTCTATTGACGCTACGGATTGGGCCTTAGAATTTGTCCGGGGCGAGCAAACTGCCGTTGGTAGAAGTCCAACATGTGTGCACACACTTTATATCATCTAAGCTTTATCATCCGAACAGCCTTGCTTAGATAAGCAAATCGCTACCATGTTGAGCCTTAATTATTGGATATTCTTTTTGATTAAGTATAGTCAGCTTGATTCTTGTCTCTATAGGTTATTGGTAGCGCAACATTATTTAATATCGTCCGTTATCTACTCTGTAGATATCCTCCTACTCTAAGGAGAGGGGGGGGGGGGTCGTCACGTGCGAAAGTCACGTAACCTTTCTTTTTTCTGTTCTGGTACACTCATGAGTAATTTGAATTTATCTGTATTAATAGTAGAGTACCGATTCTTAGACCATTCTAATGATTTATTTTGGTGAATTTCATAGTTTATTGATTGTATTATTTCTCACGTATTATATACTAAGTGACATATAAATCCGAACATCCAGTTTAAATGGTTTTATTTTAATAAAATTTTGTATAAGTACTTAATGAAGCATAATAAGTAAATGATAAAAATTTCAAAATGATTGCACTGCTTTAAAGCCCTTTGATCTTTAATAATGTGTGGATGCACCCTGATGTGCTACGCATTCTCCAACGCGCCTAGGCATGCTTCTGATCAGGTGGTCAATGTCCTCCTGTGGTATCTCATTCCAGGCAACCACCAACTCCTCTCGAAGTGCTTCTAGAGTCTGAGGAGGACGTTGCAAATTGAGCAATCTCCTACCCATCATATCCCACACGTGCTCAATTGGGGATAAGTCGGGAGATCTTGGTGGCCATGGTAACAATGTGACATCATTGTGTTGAAAGAAGTCTATTGTGACTCTTGCAACATGTGTTCTGGCATTATATTGTTGGAAAGTTGGATCTGCCAGGGTGTCAAGATAGGGTAAAAGATGGGGTTCTAGAACTTCGTGGATATAACGCTGCGCGTTCATGTTACCTCTGATGAAGATTAAAGGTGACCTGGAACCATAAGCTATAGCACCCCAAACCATAACTCCAACAGTGTGATGAACATGTCTTTCAACAAAAAACTGTGGATTCCTCCTTTCACCACGTCGCCTTCTAACCCTGGCACGACCATCGTGCATGCCTAAACAAAATCGAGACTCGTCACTAAAGACAATACTGTTCCATTCCTGATCCCAGAGTGACCGTTGTCTGCACCACTCAAGGTGATTACGTCGGTGTTCTCGAGTTAAAGGGAGGACCCAGTGTGGCCGGTATGAAAACAAGCCAAAACTTCTCATTCGTCGGTAAACACTTCGCATGCCAATAGGTCTTCCGTGTTCTGCAAACCATTCATTTGCAATGGACCTGGTAGTGGAGAAACGGTCCCTTAAAGCCAATAATCTTAGGCGGCGATTTTCACGGTCTGTTGTTCTACCACGGCGTCCAGTGCCCCTTGCTCATTGCGTACGGCCTTCTCGAAGCCATGCCTGACAACACCTAACCACAGTGTCTACACTTCTTTGCACTCTACCTGCAATTGCCCGAAAAGAAAGTCCAGCTTCCCGAAGTTCCACTATACGGCCCCTATCAAACTCACTAAGTTGACGAAATCGTACAGGTCTCCGTACTATACGCATCGTAACCGATCGTAAAGGATGTCAAGAACCAAAATCCGCCAACGTTGATTCTTTACTGCGGCTGAAATATTCATTTTTAGAGCGTTAGTGAATTAAAAAAAAGCAGTATAAAAACCGGAATGTCCAACTGATAAGGCTGAAAATTTTTCCACTTGTTATTTACAGTAAGATAAATAGATTCACCAACTTTTATTAAAATAAAACCATTTAAAATGGGTGTTCGGATTTATATGTCACTTAGTATATCCGTTATGCTCAGCGACTGAGTATTGTATTGAAATCTTTTGGACACTAATGTTATAGTGTTATTAACGACTATCTGTGAAATTTCCTCATAACATATCGTTGGACCCTCGTAGAGTTGACAACCAGCGCGCCACCTTGTGACTTTACACGTACTAGCAGTATAGGGACATTTGGTTCTATCAAGATACCTTCTTCATGGCCATTCATTTTAACCTTCTTTTAATGTTTACTTTCTTTTGAAATGTGATTTACTAGCAAAATACCTTCTTTTAATTGCGTACCGACGCGTCCAGCGCCATTTTACTTTTGTTTTTCCGCTGTGACTTTGGTTGTGTGCGGGCGTTTTTTTTGTTAACTTCCAGATTTTGGGATATTAACGCCCCAAACAACAGTGTATGGAGTAGTGCCCTTCTATTTTGTACCTTACGTTTAGTTGGTTTGGTTTGGGTCTACCACGTCCATCTTCATGGGATTTTAACCTCCAGCGGTAAGTTTTCTTTTGTATACCATCGGTTTACGTCCATTCATGCTTGTCCTGAAGAAGTTTGTTGAATATCTGATTCCTTTTAATGGAAAGCCATTGTGGAGAACCACCATTCACACTCCTCCAGCTTTGTTTTGTAGCTGCTTTGCAGTGTTACCAGGTCTACCGATTTTTCGGTAGATCTACCGATTTTGGTCCTGGTCTACCGAACTACCGATTTTAAAGCAAAAACTACCGAAAAGTGGACTTTTCTTTCAATTGAATAATTTTTGTTCCCTATATAAGACAATATTTGTGATGCATAGCGATAAAAAGAAAGACAAAAGTACTATTATTATTCGTACTAGACCAGATATATTTTTATTCTCTTTGCCTGACATTGTTGTGTCACATACCGTCGGCTAAATTTTCAAACCGCGTAACTCCATTTTTACCGAATTTTACATTGTAGTGCCATCTATTGTGAAAAAGCCAAACGCATCTGTTGAAATTCATCATACATCCCAATAACTCATGCAATTAAAGATATCTATGATTTAGAATACAACGTAACTTTTCGGTACTATTTCTGTAAACGCAATCCACCTATCTCCACTGTTAGTATAGCTTGTAGCACGTGCGAGTGTATTGCGCTGAAAAATCCTACTGTTACCCCAGAAATATCTCAGTATTATATATCGAAGACCTATTTAGGTGAGTATATGAATTCATTTTAAGTATATTTACTATTTTTGTATGCGAGCGTGTAGTGCTCAGTTAGTAAAGGCATGCTTCAAGACTCATTAGGAGTTAGGCAATTTGCTAATGATTTCAATGAGTCTCTATCTGGAGATACGATTTTTTCCTAAACTTGGCGTTCCAATTCATAGCAAAATTTCCCGGTTAAAAAATAATATAATTCTCAGGAAAAAAATTGACCTGAAAATTATGTCAGGTATTATCAGAAATATTTGTTTCAGATCTCTGAATATGGGATAACATGTATACAGGATGTCCCGTATCATCTCGCACTATTAGGATTCTGCAGAATTTGAATATCAATAGTATTTCGGAAATATCTAAGGTAGAAGGTTCTTACGTCGTACAAGAAAACGGTGAGTTAGCTGTAATCGATGGAAAAGAAAATTATCCGTATGATGCGTACGGAAGGGACATCCTGAAATGATAGTAAAGCATACGCTAAAATAAACACGATTTTGATATACTTCCTTCACCAGTGTTGTCCGTTGAACACATACAAGATGAACTAAATGGCATACCTATGCCAATACTATCTTCTCCAGCAGCTGACGTTTATGATCCTGTGAATGACATTCTTTGCTACAAAAACTCAATAATAGATGAGCTAAATAATATTACGTCATCTGAGCCATTTATAAACATAAAACGACAAGGAAGTTTAAACTCGGAAATGAAATTACCTGAACTCTTGAATATTACAGAGACGCCACACATCCGTCTTATATCGCTGAGTGGTAATAACTCAAATCAGACAAATAATAGAATCGTCGCTCAGAAAGATCAAATAACTGACGCATGCAATGAATCAGTGGAAGAAGTAGCCAAGAAGAGATCAAAGAATCGTATACCTGAAGAGTGGAACGCCTACAAGAATAAAAGACTAAGGGAGACAGGAAGAACATAATTTGGAAAAAAGAAAATAGATGGCAAATGGAGATATGACTTAGGAAGAGTCGAAAAAAGAATGCGGGGTCCATGCGGGTGCAAGCTGAGCCGGAAACAGGGTTCAAAGCTGCAATGCAGTAAGCTAACTCAGTCCGAAAGAAAGGTCCTATTTGAAAATTTTTGGAATCTCAGCTGGAAAGAGAAATGCATTTACGTTAAAACCTCTGCTGTTTGTGAGGCAATACAAAGGAAAAGGGGTATGTCAGATGTCTCAAGACGTAATAATTCCGTAGAGCTTAATATAAATAAAAAATAATAGTAAGACCGAGGATGCCAAACATTTAAAAGACTTCTTCGATTCCTTAGCAAAGATGGAATCCCACTACTGCAGAAGAGATTCTTCAAAGCTATACTTAGAACCAAATTGGACGTCTAAGGCTAAGCTGTATAAATTTTATAAGAAAGAATTCTGCACTGGGTAGGATATTTTGCCTCTGAGTATTGCAGCTTTCTACAATACGTTCCAAGAACTGAACCTCTCCCTATATCTCCCCAAGAAAGATTGTTGCGATGCCTGTGAGTCGTTCAAAACCGGAAATGTCACTGAAGATGTTTATAGGAGACACATCGAAATGAAAAATAATGCCAGAGATGCAAAAGCTCTTGATAAAATATCCAGCAATGAAGTATTCACGATGGACTTACAGTCGGTGCTCTTAAGTCCTAAATCTAACGTTGCATCTCTCTATTTTAAAACAAAGCTTGCTGTCCATAACTTCACTGTATACGATCTAAAAATGAGTGAAGGTTATTGTTATGTATGGAACGAGTCTGAAGGTGCTTTGACGGCCAACGAATTCTCGACTATTGTGGTATCAATGCTTCAAGACTTTACTTCATACTGTAAGCGCTGACTGTTGTATTATACTTTACAGTGACGGATGCACTTACCAGAATAGATACACAGATGGAGAGTGGCAGTATGCATTCTGTAATAGAAAGGGCTATGAGGAACAAAAAGGTTAATCTACCAGCAGATTATGCGTATACAGCTAAGACCGCTTGTAAAAAGAAACCATATTACGTGCAATATCTGGACCACACATTCTTCAAGAACATGGAAAGGTCTTTGAATTTTTACAAAACCATAAGGCCGGGCAAGCGTTCAGGTGATCCCGTTGTTACCGATCTTAGAGCGTTACAATTCAATCCTGATGGAAAAATATCATATAAACTGGATCATTTAAGTTCACCTTGGGAAGAACTCGCTGTACGAGTGACGAAAATTAATCCTGTTCCATTTGATACAATACCGCCTGCATACATAGAGCGATTGAAAATCAAGAAAGAAAAATTCCAACCTCTGCAGGATCTCAAGAAAAGTCTGGATAAGGACTACCACGACTTTTATGATAATTTGCCCCATTTGTAACACAATTCTTTTATAAATCTATGTTATTTTTATGTTCTCTGTGCTATAATAAATATTATTTTTTATACTAGACGGTAAATTTTTGTATAGGAATACCTCCTATTTCCATCGATCTGTTTAATTGCGGAGAAATAAGAAATCGTATCTCTCCGCAAAGTTTGTATCTCCATTGGTTGTTTGGTGGTATAACACGTAACTCCATTATCACAGTGTATATTAAAATAACACCATAGTCAAAGTAGCAGTCCTAATCCTGACCTAGAATAGCATTAAAATGAAAGAAGAATGATCAAATATTCATGCCATGCAGCTGTGTAATTGGTTTTTAACCTCGCCTGAAAAATAGGCTCGAACGGAGTTGCGCGGTTTCAAAAATTAAGCCGACGATACGCTGATTCTTCGCATCTGGGGAATCACCGAAGATACTCGATGATTTGGCTACATCGCCTAGGCCTAGCGGCTCGTCACAAGTCCATGCTTATATTGTACGATTTGTATGATTTCATGTACTTAGTAATTCCTAATTCGGACAGTATTAGTATTGCCTGTCTTGTAGTCTTTTTTTTTCACGTGCGTGTGGCCAACATTATAAGGAAGACTGGTAAGAATTGCCAGATTTCCAAGGCGGGCTTAGACAAGCAATAAAGGGCGCAATTATACGAAATGCATGGTCTGTGATAAAGATATTAATATCAAAAGTGGAAGAGATGCACTTATAAAACACGCAAATGGGCAATTTCATAAAAAAGTCCAAACCATAGCAAAACTGCCAAAACTGTTATCATTTGCAGTTGCAGATGCATCAAAGAAATTAGAAAATGATATTGAAGAAGGTAAAATTAATTAATCTATTTGAGAAGATTTGAGATTATATAGATTATTTTATTATTTCCAGGAGAAATTCGTTTGAGAGCATTTTTGGCCGAGCATAATTTGCCATTCTTTCTGATGGATCATTTGGAAAAGCAAAATTAATAGATAATATGACTGATAAAAACAAACAAAAATGAATCGGAAGAATGATTATCCAATATAGCTTACACATTTTTTATTTTATATACTTTTTTCTGTTTTTATCACGAATATTTTATTTTAGCTAAAGTGAGATATAAACCGTTTATTTTTGTTTTGTCTTTCTGTTTTAGAGTATGTTTTGAGTTAAATAAAATTGTTTTAATTAAATGCCTTCATTTACTCTTCGGTATTCAATCTACCGAAAAAATATCGTCGACCCCACCTGGCAACACTGCTGCTTTGTAGCTGTTTCGGAGCCAATTTTGTTGGAAGCCATCTCTTCCCCTTGGTAAAAAACCCTGATGTGGACAGGTAAAACATCATTTTAATTGAGTATTTTATAGATATTAATATATTGATTGTTGCTGACTGAAGTTCTGAAAGGGTTCTTGATTTTGCTTGGCATTCTACGTATTCAAATACACACAAAAATACATGTCACTGTCTTTTGGGCTGTTTATATTACATTATTCGTGATCTTCAATTTTGAGCTGCCATAACTTATTTTAGAACAAAGAATACGTTTCTGAGGGTGTATCACTTGTAAATTTTTATATTTTCTTGCCCTTGCAGAAAGGAAAGTAGTTTCCTTGTAAAAGAGGATGTACATGGATTTTTCTTCAAGTTTTGAGTCTTTTAAATGTGTGGTTCTGTCTCAGACATAGGGTAGTAGTAGATTTTTCTCTCTCTAAGGCTTTTTATACCATAAATTTTGGAAACGAGGCAAGCAACCTGCAAAACAATGCTGAAAAAAATGCTCCTAACGAAAACAAACAACGAAATGTAGAATCGACCAGTACTGAAAACACCAGCAGAGATACGAATAGATGGATTGAGGTAAAACGAAAGAAGACCAGAAGTGGACGAAATCCAATAGTTATAGTTTGTTATTGTTTGTACTGTTTGTTAATGTTGTTTATTGTATGTTATTGTTACTGATTGTTTGTAATTGCTGTTTATTGATGTTTATGGTTTGTTACTGTTGTTTATTTTATGTTACCCTTGTTTATTGCTTGTTATTGTTGTTTACTGTTTATTGTTATTATTGCTATTGCTATTGATGTTGGTGTTGCTGTTTCTGCCGCTTTGCGGTTCAGGTTGCCGTTGATGTTGCCGTTGCCGTTGCTGTTGCCGTTGCGGTTGCCATTGCCGTTGCTCTTGCAGTTGTTGTTGTTGCCGTTGTTGTTGCTGTTGTTACTGCTGTTGTTGCTGTTGTTGTTGCTGTTGTTGTTGGTGTTGTTGTTGCAGTTGTCCCTGTTGTTGCTGATGTTGTTGCTGCTGTTGGTTGTTGTAGCTGTTGTTGTTGGTTGTTGCTGTTGTTGATTGTTGTTGTTGGCTGTTGTTGGTTGTTGTTGTTGATTGTTGTTGTTGGTTATTGTTGTTGGTTGTTGTTGTTGGTTGTTGTTGCAGTTGGCAGTTGTTGTTGATTGTTCTTGTTGGTTGTCTTTGGTTGTTGTTGAGAGTTTTTGTTGTTGTTGGTTGTTGTCTTTGTTGTTGTTGTTGTTGTAGGTCGTTTAGTCTAATAATTACATCACTGTTACATCCTAAACATACGTAATATAATTTTTTCCGCTAAATACCGCTAAGTGTCGCAAACCGTAATTGGATTCACTAAAATGTAACGCTTGTACTGCAATCATGTAAATCTTAAACTTGACTTTTATATATTGAAGAGAGATTCTAATAGCGCCTCTCTAAATACTACTTCGATCACACGATTGGAAAGATGTGGTTCTGTGACCACTATTACTACTTGCAGATCGGAATATACGGCATTGTTTGAAAAAATTCAAAATTTGTCCTACTCACCATCTAAATGTATCTTTAACTGTATTTCGCTGTTCATGTGTATATTACATATTTCACAAATAAAACTTTTTCCAATTCGTTCCACCTTCATTCTATGCTTCCGTCCTTCAATGTGCCGTTGTAAAATTCTTGCACTGGTCACCGTAACATTGCATAAGCTGCAAGCCAATAGCTGAAGCATATAAAAACGTGTCAAGGTGCTGTACAGGGTGCCTCATTGGAACAGTAAAATACGTTAACCGTGGCAACACCTTGTGTATTTTATGTGGAACCTGGTATACATTTCCAGCGTATCCTGTCGAATCGATTGAGATACTAATAGGGTAAAATACCTGAAGGCAGTCACCCGTCGCCTCTACTGCTTCATTAAATTAAACGACGCTATTGAATGGGTACCAGCAAGTCAATGGTACCATTAACACTGCCTACGATATTCCTGCTGTCTAATAATCATCTGTACAGGGTGGCCAACTAAGAACGCGAGGTACTGGGAACCTATCCGTAGTAGAGGCTTGCGTCAATAATCGTTATTACTAAAACAGCCAAGAGAAAAACCACTCTCTTTTGTTAAAGCTTTGGCTTGCTCGCGCTTTGTGCAGATTCAACTGAGTCGTGATAGCTGGTGATAAAGAGATGTGGTAGGTTGCATTTGGCAATTTTGAGAACTCCTTTGGCACGAATTTTAGCCTGCTACAATAATTAGGCTTGACACAAAATCTTGGCTTTTATTAGAACTTGCGCACTTGATATACAACTATTTTTGACAGGGGAAAGCCTTTGTAGCCACTCTCAGGCAACAAAAATCGACAGTATTGCCGGCCCTCCTGTCCGAAGTGTGAAATTCTCCAGAAATGGCATACGCACTAAAACCCCTCAGTCGATCGCCACACATCCCACCCCGGTAATGTTTGCGGCTTTTCTGCGCTAGGTTCTCATACCGCAGGTATTAGTCACATACATACTTTCATACATATGTAGCTATAGTCAACGCCAAACAAAGTGGCGTGCACGTCATCAAGGTGGGGGTGTTGAAAAATTTACATTGTTGCCAAACTTTTTGTAAAATAATAAAATTTATTATTTACGTATCTAGGTTTATAAGCAATATTAACCTCAAATGAGAACAAAAATAATAGTATAATAAAATTATAGATCTGTACTTGCATAATCATTAAGTATGACAATTATTGATCAGATGACACTATGAAACTACCATATTTAATTGATAGCTTAAAGGTACTGAATAAAAATCCAAATGGTGTCCTCCAAATTTTATGCATGGTATTTATTTTACAGAATTCATGCAGAAAAATGCATTCTAAAATTAGGTAAGCTACTGGTGTAAGCTTTTTCTGTACAATAAAGTTAGTCGGAGTTTCTTTCTTCAGCGCTGTCTGAATCTGAATCTTCATCACTCTCAAAGTTGATTATTAAAGGTTCGATGTCTGGTCGATCAAAAATTCGTTCTCTTTCATACCATTTAAAAATTTCTTGCTCAGTATGTCGAACACTATTTTTCCACATGTCTGGGGTAACCGTTTGTAGAGCCTCGTTCCACATATCCAAACAGTCTTTTTCACTGTTACCATCTCTACCAATATGTCTGTTATAGTAACCTTTTGCTATGCCCCAAATTAACTCAATAGGGTTAAATATACAATGGTAAGGAGGCAGACGAAGAACTTTGTGCCCATGTTGTTCCGCCAATTCATCAATCACGTATATTTTAGGTGGTTTGTTTCTAAAAAAGCAGTTATTTTAAGAATAGGAATAAACAAAAGAAATATAAACTGTCGACCAAAATATATATAATTAAGAAGCATTATGTACCGAGCAACAATACTCAATAGCTCTGTTTTAAACATTGTGTTTAAAAATGGTATGTTTTGATTTGTCAACCAGTCTTGGATATTTTTTTTTATCCATGCATTGTTGGGCACTTTGTTTCAATATCATGCTGTGATAAGGGGCGTTATCGAGTATAATCATAGATGGACTCTCCAATTTTTCTAATAACTGATGTTGAAACCATTTCAAAAAATTGTCCTGGTTCAACTCTCCATGGTAATCGCTCAATTTTGTTTTCGAAGAAAATATCGCTTCACTACCCTCAATAAACCCATTTTCATTTCCAGCATGTAATATAATGTATCTAAAATATATTAGTTTTAAATTTTATAGTGCAAATTGTGTAAAAGTACATACCTTTTACCATCTGTTTTAATAGCTTTCACGCTTTTTTCGTTTCCATTTTGCCAAGAGCGACCTATGGTCCCATTTTGAAATATCCAAGTTTCATCGAGGAAGACAAACTGGTATAAGGCCTCAACCTTGGCTTGATTGTATGCCTTAGAAATTCCACCCTTTTCAAAGCTATACTTGGTAGTTCCATGAGCCCTCGTTGCGGATTGTCCTTAAGCCACTTAAATCCAAGATCTCTAAGCAACCGCCTTAAAGACGTGGCACTACCATCAATAATGCCCTATCTCTTAATCGAGACCATAAAGTTGTATCGTAACTTGTTCTTCTGAAACCATGTGTAATATGACATTATAATTTAGTTAACAAATTAATGCAAATTTCTGATAAGTTATTATAATAAGATCTTACTTTTGTGATACATATTATAGATCACTTCTCGAATGGCACTTGTATCCAATGTCGCTGTGTTGGTTTACACGTTTAATATAACTCCGCTTTTTCTTGGGCGATTCTAAATTTGCATCACTTTTCACACCCTCGGAAATACGACTAAACTGTCCTTAAACTAATTTTTAAAGCAGCAGCAAACACGCTACAAAAAATGAAATAAAATTTCACTATTATTAATATACATTACATATAATTATTAGTAACCTACCTCTTGAACAGCATTTAAAGGCAACAAAGGCCCGTTGTTGTCCCTTTCTTGCTCAAAGCAGTGCATTAACGAGGCCACGAGTTCCTTACACCGACTATTTAACTGTTTGGGCATCTTTGTATACCCAAAATTGCCTTTATCTACTCGTAAAATGAATAATTTTGTTTTGAAACAAACAGTTGTTGATTTACAGTATGCGGGGCCAAAGGATTTATAAAGATTTGAAATGCCACAAATTGATTCAGTGTCAAAATTAATACAAATGTCAGTTCCCAGTTTAAATAAGTTTCAAGGTGACAATGTGTCAACGCTGCGAAATCGGTTTAGTGCGTTTACATGTCGATAAGTGATTGGAGCGTTTGCAAAACATTTTATTTCGCATAATGCGTCTAAATTATCAGAAAGCAACTTATATTTTAATAACAATGTTTATATGACTATTAACCATAATAAGAGAGTAATGACCATTTTACAATTTATATATCACATTAATATGAAACTGCAATAGAGCAATTGTTTGTGATAGAAACCTAGGCATTAGGTCGGGGAATTTTTATCGTGATGACGTGCACGCCACTTTGTTTGGCGTTGACTATATGTATACTTTCATACAGCCGAGCAAAATAGAAATCTATTATCGGTTCCTTGGTATATTTTTTTCTCCCGTGCCTTACTCAGGATCATTCGCTGCACTAGTGGTTGAATATCAACCCATTATCCCTCGCGTAGCAAAATACTCAGCAGTGAACCTCTCGCCGAGCGTCAGTTCGAGCTGTGACTGGTAATCAACCCACCTGCCACATTAGAGTAGGTGATCAGGAGTATCCTCCTCTCCATTGCAATAAACGCAGTTCGTGAACTCTCTTTCCTATCCTCTTCAGGTATCCGTCAAAATGACCATGTCCTGTGAGGAACTGTGCGGAATAGTATTCTATCCGCACCGCTTCCTTGTCAATTCAGGTTTTAATATCTGGGATCAGCCTACTGGTGCATGCACCCTGGCAAGCTTCATCCCTTACCTCCTACCAGCTGACAAAAAGTGACTCTCTTTCATCGCTTGTAGCTTCGACGCCCCTTTTTATAGACCACACATCTCTCCACAACTAGCAAATCAATTGGCGGGATACCAGCCACCACCAGCAGGATCAGCATACCCTATCAAGTGAAAGCCCGGCAGCATCTTTAACCGAGGAACCCGATCGTAGAACACGTTCCAAAGCAACAGCCCTAGGACGGACACCTGAGACATTCCAATGCTTACCTTCATCATCTTTTGCCCTACTATGAGTGCGCTCTCGTGAAAGTAGCTCTTTATCATCTTCAACAGATAGCTAAGAGTGTCTAGCTTCTCGAGAGATTCGACGATTTTTCTGCCATTGTGCCGTGTTAGACATTCTTAATGGCATCGCTATCCGCTACTTTAGCCAGTTGTGCCACTGCACTAAGTACACTTACGGCAGATCTTCCCTTTCTAAAGCCATATTGAGAATGAGAGAGCCCGTTCTTCTCCTCGATGTATTTTCTCAGCTTACCTTCTATTAGTCGTTCTAGCAACTTTCCAAGTGCACTCAGCAAACACATATATTTGACTTCGCTATCGGTGGGTTTCGAAGGTTCAGTGATGAGTAGCAAACCAGCCTCCTTCCACCTTTTAGGAAAGACTACCATTCTCAAGCATACATCACAGTCAGTAAGACTTTTTTAACGAGCGCTTTCACGATCTAATTTGGTATTACATATTATGGTCCTGGTGCTTTACTTGCTTTCAAGTGCGTTGCAGCATCTTCCAGCTCACTCATGGTGCACTCTGGTACGTTCAGGTTTACTCAAATTTCTGTTTGGTGTGTGAGTACTTCGGAAACAATCCCTTTGCAATTTTTATTGTTGTTCAGTATCCAGGTACGGTCTGTCTCTGAGTTTTAGCTTTTTCATGGCTATCTTGCTTGCTTGACACCAAACGTCGTTTTCTATAAGATTTGATAAGTCTTTCAGTATGAGCTTTTCTAGTTCTTCTTCAGTATATTGATGTTGTCTTTTGTACTCGGGCATCAGAACGTCATTCCTTGTTCCATTTGATCTATGGTACTTCCTATTTTCTCTTGTTATTTTACGTCTACGTTAGATATTCTTTTATTTTTTGTGCTACCACCATTTTTGTATGACTACATCCTCCAGCAGTTGAACTTTGCTTTTGTGATTATACAGCTTGTGTTCCATAGAGCTAACTGCAGATTTCCGGCGGATGCTTTTAATTTAGCTCCGTTTATCTTCCACCTTCGGATCTTATGTGTCTGTGGTCTTTCATGTTCAATA